GCATTGCCAGGTCCCAGGAGGTCTCACAAGCTAGCAATATGAATTTTTTTTGTCAATGAAGTCTTCTCTTTAAATGTTGGCAACTAGTTAAAGAAATTAAGCCACAGTTTCAGTCAAAGCATGATTGCAGGCTGCCGGTGTGCGACCTCTGACTAGCCTTCATCAGAGATCTGCTGTGCGCTTCACACAGGTTCCCTTACCTAATTTACTTGGTGTTGCTTCCTCCCTCTGTCCCTCTCCTTGTGCTCCTTGTGCTCGGACCTCTGGTGAAGTAGCCTGCTTATCTGCCCACTCTTTTTTTTTTTGAAACTGAGTCTTGCAGAGTTGCCCAGGCTGCAGTGCAGTGGGGCGATCTCCGCTCACTGAAACTCCACCTCCAGGTTCAAGTGATTCTCCTGCCTCAGACTCCCAAATAGGTGGGACTACAGGTGTGCGCCACCACGCCTGACTAATTTTTGTATTTTTAGTAGAGGCGGGGTTTCACCATGTTGGCCAGGCTGGTCTCACGTGATTTGCCCACCTTGGCCTCCCAAATTGCTGGGATTACAGGCGTGAGCCACCGCACCCAGCCATCTGCCCACTCTTTAAAGTTTAGATCACTTTTTCCCCCTGCTTAAATTCCCTGTACCTCTCAAACTCCCAGCTTCCCCCTCACAGCTTACAAACTGAGCAGCTTGTGGATCTCAAACAAAAGCCAGGATCTCCACTGCCCAGCTTCTGCTCAGTGTGATTTTGTTGTGCTTGGAACACCCACACCCATCTGCTCATCTTTTTCCAATTTTTTTATTGTGGTAAAATACAATGTAAAATTTACTATCTTAACCACTTTCAAGTATATGGTTTAGTGGCACTAAGTACATTCACATTGTTGAGCAACCATCAACACCATCCATCTCCTGAGCCTGTTCCTTTCACAAAACTGAAACTGTGTGCCCATTAACCAATAATTCTGTATTTCCCTTTCCCTAGCAACCAGCATCCTACTGTGTCTGATTTTGACTACTCTGAACATTTGAGGTAAGTGGAATCATGCTTGTCTTGTTGTGGCTGGCTTATTTCACTTAGCATAATGATATGTCCTTCAGGTTCACCTGTGTTGTAGCATATGCTAGAACATCCTTTTAAAGCTGAATAGTATTCCACTGTGTAGACTGTGTGTACTTCATTCTGCTTATCCATTCATCTGTTGATAGGCACTTAGGTTGATTCTAGGTTTTAGCTATTGTGAATAATGCTATGTACATGTGTGTGCAAGAATCTCTTAGAGACCTTTACTCACCTAGGTTTTTTTTTTTTTTTTTTTTTGAGACAGATTCTCGTTCTGTCACCCAGGCTGGAGTGCAGAGGCACGATCTTGGCTCACCACAACCTCTGCCTCCTGAATTGAAGGGATTCTCCTGCCTCAGCCTCCTGAGTAGCTGGGATTATAGGCATGTGCCACCATGCCCCGCTAATTTTTGTATTTTTAGTAGAGATGGGGTTTCACCACATTGTACAGGCCAGTCTCGAATTCCTGACCTTGTGATCCACCCACTTCAGCCTCCCAAAGTGCTACGATTACAGGCATGAGCCACTGCGCCCGGCCAAAGTTTTTTTCCTTTTAGATGGAATCTCACTCTGTCTCCCAGGCTGGAGTGTGAAGTGCAGTGGTGCCTTCTTGGTTCACTACAACCTCCACTTCCTGGATTCAAGCGATTCTCCTGTCTGAGCCTCCAGAGTAGCTGGGATTACAGGTGTGCACCATCACACTGGCTAATTTTTGTATTTTTAGTAGAGATGGGGTTTTGCCATGTTAGCCAGGCTGGTCTTGAACTCCTGATCTCAAATGATCTGCCCTCTTTGGCCTCCTAAAGTGCTGGAATTACAGGTGTGAGCCACCGCACAGGGCCACTTACATGTTAGACCTTCTCCATGAAGCCACTTATTAACCTTAATGTCCACTTGACTGGCTTCTGTTTTGTTCCAGCAGCCATTTTTTGGATACGTGGTCCCCACAGGCAGGGCCTAGCTTGGGAGATGCTAAGGTAACTAAGACTTGGTCCATGGTCTGAGCAGTCTGGTCTTGATAAAGGCAGAGCCACACTAGCACAGGCGGATGCACGCAGCAGAGCTGTGAACAGCAGGAGTGCATGGGGAGGGCAGCAGTGAACTTTGGGGAGTCAGAGAAAGCTTTGTGAGCTGGAGCATGGGGTAAAGTAGGAGCTTTCCAGGGCTGAGAGGACATCTGAAGGAGAGGAAACTGTCTATTCAGGGCATGGAGGTAGGCATGAAAGTTCTGAGTCATGTGGGTGGGACAGAGCAGAGGATGGCTGGGATGGTCACTGGGGTAAGGAGCAGTTTGGGGACCAGATTATTTTGTTGCCGTATCTGCATCCCTGTGGCCTGCACACCAGAGTGTAAGCTCCAGAAGAGGAGCTGTGTCTGGGCATTCATTGCTCCATTCCTGCCACCCATCTGAGACGGAGCCCTCCCATCCTTGCAGGAATGAGAACACAGCACCCAGTAGCGGTCAGAGCGCCCCCTAGTTGCCCCCAAGAGCTCCCACCTCCTGCCACCAGAGCTGACCCGGTCATGCCCTCCCTCTGCACACGCAAGCAGCTGTTATGAGGGGCTGCCCTTTGCCAGGCATCTTCGCTTGATCTCTGCCCCTCCCTGAGAGGATGCTCACTTCGGGGCCAACAAACCCTTATTAAGTACTTCTCTGTGTTGATCACTGTTCTAGGCACTAGGGTAGAGTCTCAGAACCAATCGATAATGGGGGTTGTTGCCAGTAGGGATCAAGTGCATTTTGAGCCTCGAAGGATGAATGAGTGTCAGAGTAGGGGGTTAGAAGGGAAAACATGGTGCCCTATGAAATGGAACAATAGGGATGAGCCCTACTCCCTGCTGCTTACTCAGCATTTACTAAACTACCATTCACCAAGGCCACAGAGGGAGCATGGGGTGCCTGGAACCCAGACATAACTTGATGCCATCTCACAACCCAGCAGGAAGACAGTAAAGGAAGTGAGAGGTGCTCCGGGCTCAGGGTGTTATAAGCAGACACAGGGGTGTGAGACAGGGAGTGCCCACCGCCTGGGGTTGTGTGGGAAGATTTTGAGCTTACCCTGAGGCATGTAAAAGTGGGAGGTGGTCCAGGCCAAAAGCATGAGTCCAAAACCAGGTGTTATCCATCAAAAGGAGGCCTGTCCCGGTGTACTACGAAGGTTCTGGTTGATCCAAGTGCTTGCCTCAGAGGTGTGTGCAGTTACGGAAATTTATGGAGCGTACACTTATAACTTCATAGCTGTACATTCGTGAGAGTTATATTTCAATTGCTTAAAAGTGTTTCCCCCACCCCCATCGTGTAAGACTAGACTCTGGGACCATATACTTTTAGGGTTGGGATCCAGTCCAATTCCAGCTCTAGGGCCTTGGGGAGGCAACTTCAATGAATTAGTTTCTTCATCTGTAAAATGGGAACAATTGTATTGTCATTACAGGGTTGTGTGCAGCGCTAGCAACTTCAGATATGTAAAGCATTTAAATCGTGCTTCCACTGTGCTCCTCTCGACGCTATCAAATGTCTGATTGGCAGTGTCTGGCACAGAGGAGCTCAATGTAATTCACTGAATAAACAAGGGAATTAACTCAAAGTATGATTTTTTGTGGCACTGGGAGGTAGCTTGAACAAATGCAGGGGTGTGGGTTGGAGTGGAGTGTCTCCACTAAAGGTTCCTGGGCAAGTTCAGAGTCTGGTTAGGGGATGCTGCACTCATGCACAGACTCCAGGGTTTCTGTGGGGAGGGAGGCAGCCAGCGACATGGGCCCTAACTGGTGGAGGTAGGAGCCAAGGTTCCTGTGCACCCCATGCCCCCAGCCTCCAAATGAACAGGCTTGTGGAGAGGCTCACACCAGGAAGAAATGCTACAAAACAGCACTGCACCCTCCCCACAGTCCCGGCTCCTGTGGCCCTCTCACTCCTCCCCTCTGGTGGTCAAACCTGGCACTGCTCTCCACCCTCAGGGGCCAGGACAGTTTCGAGAGACTCAGAAAACCTGCTCAACAGGGTGGCCAAAGCCTAAACCAGCTGAACAGGGCGGTCCCATCTCCCCCCAGCAAGCTGGTCCCTCTCCTGGCCCACAGAACAGAGCCAGAAACCCCACAAACTACTTTCATTACCCTGTGGGAGGACTGGACTGTGATGTTGGAGAGCCCTGCGGGGGGCAGGGGAGGCTGTACGATGCAGCTGAGCCTCTCCTTGCTCAGTAGGTCTAGGCCAGGTTGGGGCTGGTCAAGGGCAGGGAACTCAATCTTGGGGGAAGAGGAAGGGAGGATGGCGAAGCCACACTCCTCTTCACCCGTGCCACAGCATTAAATAAACAAAAAGCAACTCTTTACAGCAGCACAAACTACACAGGGAAGTACTCCCTCCCAGCCCTGGGCACAAAGCATGGAAGGGGAGCCCTGGAGGACAGGGCTGGGGCCTCCAGGGTCTAACACCACCCCAGGCCTCTTCCTAGTGCTGTGGGGTAGGAACAGACAGCTTTGAACAGAGGAAACAAAACTCCAGCTTCCTCCAAACTCCTAGGCAGGCAGGTCCATCTAATATGGTACTTCTGGCCCCAGGGTTTTCTGCTCCTTTGAGACCCTTGAGCTTTCTCAGGACCTCAGCTTAGGTGGGACTTTCCCAAGAGGGGCTGGAGCCCTGGTCTCTGAGGCACAGTGGGCCTGGGAAACAGGCAAGAGTCTGGTTCCAAAGTTTTTTCCAACCCAGGCCTCTGCCTTGGCAAGCAGGAAGCAGAGCCAGGTGAGCTGGCGAGACCCAGGCTCAGAGGGGCCGGGTGGTGTGGTTATAGACCAGGTGCTCTGTGTCCTCGGTAGTGGAGACAGTGGAGCCGGCAGGGGTGGGTGGTGGGTGGTGGCGGTGGTGGTGTCTGCGGAAGTTCTTTCTCTGGTTCTTGACGAAGCAGTAACCCAGGATGGCGACCACCACCACAATGCAGATGATCAGGAATGCTGCGACAGCCACCTCCACAGAGCCTGGGGGAAGAAGGGGTAGAATGAGGGGCTCCCAGGGCCTGCCTGGTTCTGACACCCACCCCCACTCTATGGAAGGGACCAAGTCAAATGGATGCCAGGTACAGAAGGACATGGACACCTGACTCAGACCTCCCACATATGGACAGCTGAACAGCTCGGAGTTCAGAGGGACTCTGGTGGGCCTCAGGTCTCAGCTCAAGTCGCTCTCCTTGCAGTTAACTTGAGGGAAGCCTGGGACGCTGCTGGCAGACATCGGCACGCACTTCACTGTACTCCCTGGTCTGTGGCAGGCATCAGTATTTGATTATGGGACTCTGTTTCTATAGGCCTCCTTGGCATCCTTCTCAACACAGGTCAGGCAGTCACAACCAATCAGGTGGAGTTGATCTGTGAATTGATACCTACATGCCAACCTCAGTTACAGAACAGACCAAGGCTTACCTGTGGTAGGAATGGGGCTTTCCCGCCGCAGGCCAAACACATCCTTCTCTGCAGAATAACGACGAGAGAGACCAGTCAGTACTAATGGCTGAAAGATTTGGCTGCTCCCCAGTGCCCCAGACCCTGCAAAGCCATTCTCTCCACCGGCTACTCCAGGCACTCTGACAATGGAGGGGTGACTCCCACAGGCCTGGCTAAGCCTCGCGCCTGTACATGCCCACCCTCTCACTGGCCCCACTCACTGGAGATGCCGCGACAAGACTCAAGGCACTGCTGCTCTTCTTCAAAGTTGTTCTTGTTGCCATCACAACCGCCATAGGTAAAGCGGGCACAGCGTTCACTGAAGGGATTGTAGTACCAGCGTGGGATGCTGTCCTGGCAGAGTCCTGTGTAGGGCAGGTCCACGCAGTGCCCTGGGGGGTATGGAGCAGGCTGTGGTGAGCGAGTCCATGGCCTCCCTGCCACCTTCTGCCAGGCTCTACGCTGCTGCCACCCAGCACCTCCCCACCCACCTGAGAGGCCCCAGAAACACCTGGTCCAGCTCTGCAGTGGTGCCAGAAAAAGGAAGACAAAGCCTGGACAATAATTGTAGGCTCAAAAGTAAACTGCACTGACTCGTAGTTACTTCCGTTTTCTTTCAGCTTTTCTGATTGGGTCATGGTCTCAGTTTTCTAACACTGGGTGGTTTACCTCTTCTTTTTGGACAGTGTCTTGCTACGTTGCCCAGGTTGACCTCAAACTCCTAGGCCAAGCGATCCTCCCACCTCAGCCTCCCTAGTAGCTGGGATTCCAGATGTGAGCCATCACACCTGGCTGGTTTACCTTTCTTAACAAAGAGGATGGGCCTCTGGATCTGAGCCTTGGCAGGCAACAGCATTCAGCTAGAGCTGATTATTATTATTTTGATACAGGGTCTCACTCTGTCACCCCGGCTGAGTGAGGTGCAGTGGTGCCGCCTCAGCTGACTGCAGTATCCACCTCCCAGTTTCAAGTGATCCTCCTACCTCAGCTTCCTAAGTAGCTTCGAGTACAGGAACGCCCCACCACACCGGGCTAATTTTTGTATTTTTCGTAGAGATGGAGTTTTGCCATCTTGCCCAGGCTGGTCTCAAACTCCTGAGCTCAAGTGATCTGCCAGCCTCGGCCTCTCAAAGTCCTGGGATTATAGGCATGAGACACCACGCCTGGCAAGCTAAAACGTATTGTTTTATTTATTTTTGTTGTTATTTTGAATGTTTGGCAAGTAGTAGTGGCTTCCCATTTATGGTAGTGTTGTCACAGTTCCTTTTTAATATATCACATTAAAAAAGCAATTGATTGGCCGGGCGTGGTGGCTCATGCCTGTAATCCAAGCACTTTGGAGGCCAAGGCGGGCAGATCACCTGAGGTCGGGAGTTCAAGACCGGCCTGACCAACATGGTGAAACCCCGTCTTAAATAAATAAATAAATAAATAAATAAATAAAAGCAATTGATTGGGCCAGGTGCAGTGGCTCATGCCTATAATCCCAGCACTTTGGGAGGCCGAGGCAGATGGATCACCTGAGGTCAGCAGTTTGAGACCAGCCTGACCAAAATGGAGAAACCCTGTCTCTACTAAAAATACAAAAATTAGCTGGGCATGGTGGCAAGTGCCTGTAATCCCAGATACTCAGAAGACTGAGGCAGGAGAATCGCTTGAACCCGGGAGGTGGAGGTTGCAGTAAGCCAAGGTCTTGCCACACTCCAGCCTGGGTGAAAAGAGTGAGACTCTGTCTCAAAAAAAAAAAAAAAAAAAAAAGGAATTAGGTAAATAAGATCTGAGCAATATGTGGTAGGCAGAGCTGAAATTTTGAAGGTGTTTGGAGAATGAGTGATGCCTGGAAAACACAGAGCCACAGAAGAGAGCCCAGGATCCAGCCAGGAAGAAGCTGCGCATCTGGAGAACTGGGAGCCGCCCCAGCTCCTGTACCCACAGGCCTACACACCCGCAGGCCCCTCAAGTCTGAGGATGGAAATAGTGAGGATGGGGCCGGGCGCGGTGGCTCACGCCTGTAATCCTAGCACTTTGGGAGGCCGAGGCGGGTGGATCACGAGGTCGAGAGATCGAGACCATCCTGGTCAACATGGTGAAACCCCGTCTCTACTAAAAATACAAAAAATTAGCTGGGCGTGGTGGCGCGTGCCTGTAATCCCAGCTACTCAGGAGGCTGAGGCAGGAGAGTTGCCTGAACCCAGGAGGCGGAGGTTTCGGTGAGCCAAGATCGCGCCATTGCACTCCAGCCTGGGCAACAAGAGCGAAACTCCGTCTCAAAAAAAAAAAAAAAAAAAATAGTGAGGATGGCAACTGTAGACCCAGGACACGTGGGGAGGATCTCACCTTTGTCACTGGGGAAATGGATGCTCTGGAGCTCATCAAAGCCACTGGTGTCTGCAAAGATGAAAGGTCAGAGGCTCAGACCCAACGAGCATCTCCCAAGGGTTCAGGGCAAGGCTGTTAGGACCTCCCTGTCTGCTGCCCAACCCCCTCCATCCCCCAGGCCTCACATTTTTCACAGGCGGCCTCGTCGGAGGCGTCGGGGCAGTTGGGGGTGTCATCACACTCCAGGAAACTGTCGATGCAGCAGCCATTGCTGCAGCGGAACTGGGTGGGCTGACAGGTGCCAGAGCACACTGGGTGAGGGTGGAACAGGAGGAGGGGAGGTCAGGTTCAAGCACAGAACAAGTGCCCAGGGCCCACCCTCCACCTGGCCCTCTCTGCCCAGACACAGCACATCCCCCATTCCCTTTCCACCAACCCCACTCCTCCCCACACAAACTGGGCAGATTCTCATAGGAGGATGGGCTGGAAGGGGTGGGATGTTTGTGGTCCTTCCACAAACTGAGGGGAGGAATGGCTTGGGCAAAGGCAGGCTGCTCAGGGGCCTGGGGATGATATGGGCTGGAGACATGGAAGGAATCGGAGGATGGGGAAGGGAGTAAAGCCCACCTGGATGGCGCCTTTCCACGGAGGGACCTGGGAGAGGGAACAGAGAAGTGAGAGGAGGCATGGCCAGGCTCCAGAGGGGATGAGATGATTGGGGTTGGTGAGCAAGGGGGAATTCCCACCGCCCACCTCCCTGGTCACAGAAGAGAGACCACTCACCCTGGGAGAAAGTCACCTGAGCCCCAGAGCTGCCTCTCAAAGGCTCACCTTGCACACCCCGACAGGCTAGAATGCACTCTTCTTCCCGAAGGTAGTTATTCTTGTTGCCCAAGCAGCCTCCATAAGTGAAACTCTTGCAGATCTGCTCCATGGGGTCGTAATACCAGCGCGGGAAAGAGCCCCGGCAGCGGCCCACCTTGCTGGACGCGAGGCAGTAGTCTAGAGGGGAGAGATTGTGAAGGGACCGCACAGCCAATCCGCAGAGCGGGGGCTCCAGGCACCGCCTCCTCATCCCTCCCTCACCTTCTGTCTGCTTGGTGGACAGCACAGTGACTGTGATGTTGGCCGTGTCCTCTGGCTGGTCTGAGCTAGTCATTGTTAGCTGGAATAGGTAGGTGCCCTCCTTGAGTCCCCACAGCTCCAGCCGGTTTGGGTCTTTCTTCTGCACACAGAAGTGGCCATCAGGCTTGGGTACCCCCAATGCCCTTGGGGTGCCCAAGGTCCTCCCAGACACACACCCACACCCCTGGGGAGGCCAGGGGAACTTGGATTAAATGGATCTTCAGCTTCTTTCCACCCCATCCCATCCCATCTTGGGCCACTGGTTGGCCTAGGGCCCCAGAAAGGGGCTCCCAGAAGGCTATCACACCAAGGGCAGGGTCAGAGAGTCAGCCCAGCATCTCACCTCTACCCTGACATCAGTGTCACCCCGCAGTAGGTGCCAATCTGTATTCTCCACATCCTTCAGCACCACAGGCTCCTGGGGTTGTACCTTCAAATCCATGCCCGCCCAGGTCTTGGGGATCCCAGACCCTGGCAGGGGGACAAAGTGAGATAAGGTCCATTCTCACTAGATGGACCAGGCTTCTGGGAGCAGGGTGGGGTGGAGACAGTATGAGCCCCACCTAGACCAAAGTAGGACTCTGCAGCCTGCATGGGGTGCAGGTGGGAGCCCCCAACAGAACCAGCTTCTTGATATCTATTCAGAGAGAGCATGTTTTTGGTATACTGAAGACATTTTTATGTTGTCACACACTTTCTTTCCTTTTTTTTTTTTTTTTTGGTTAGAGATGGGGTCTTGCTGTTTCCCAGGCTGGAGCACAGCAACTATTCACAGACTCTATCATGGCCACTACAGCCTCAAACTCCTGGGCTAGAGCAATCCCCCTGCCTCAGCCTCCTGAGTAGCTGGGACTAAAGGTGCAATCACCACATTTCAGCTTTCTTTCTGAAGCAAATTACTGAACTAATTGCCATCTGATCTTATTTAGAAAACACACACACACACACACACACACACACACACACACACAGACACTTGAGGGGATAGGCTTATCTCTACTTTCTACAAAAGAAACACCTCAGACAGACTCGGCCTCCAGTTACAAGGGGTCCTGGGAGCCATACCCTTACTTGAGTTGACAGTGCCTGTGTCCGAGGCTTCCCCACCTCAGGGTCAGGGCTGGGGGAGGGAGATAAGCACAGTGCAGGATCCCTGCCTGTAGGGGGCTGAATGGTGGCTCCTCAAAGATATATTCACATCTAACCGCTGGGGCCTATAAACATGACCTGATTTGGGAAGAGGGTCTTTGAAGAAGTAATTAGAATTTCCAGATGAGATCATCCTGGATTAGCTGGTTAGGTCCCAAATCCAATGACAGAGTATCATTATAAGAAACAGAAGGCTGGGCACAGTGGTTATGCCTGTAATCCCAACACTTTGGGAGGCCAAGGTGGGTAGATCACAAGGTCAGGAGTTTGAAACCAGCCTGGCCAACATAGTGAAACCCCATCTCAACTAAAAATACAAAAAAATTAGCTGGGTGTGGTGGTGTGTGCCTGTAATCTCAGCTACTCAGGAGATTGAGGCAGGAGAATCGTTTGAACCCAGGAGGTGAAGGTTGCAGTGAACCAAGATGACACCATTGCGCTCCAACCTGGGTGACAGTACAAGACTCCATCTCAAAAAAAAAGAAAAAGAGAAAGAAAAGAAAACAGAGTGAAGGAAAAGAAGGGCTCACGAAGACAGAGGCAGAGACCGGAGTGATGCCGCCACGGCCAAGGTATGCCTGGGACCCCAGAGGCTGAGAAAGGCTCCGCAGGGTCTTTGGAGGGAGCACAGCCCTGCTGACATCTTGATTTGGGGCTTCTGGCCTTCAGAACTGTGCAAAAATAAATTTCTGTGTTTTGTTTTTTGATTTTTAGAGATGGAGTCTCACTCTGTCATGCAGGCTGGAGTGCAGTGGTGCAATCTCAGCTCACTGCAACCTCTGCCTCCAGAGTTCAAGCGATTCTCCTGCCTCAACCTCCCAAGTAACTGGGATTACAGGTGTGCACCACCATGCCCGGCTAATTTTTTAGTTTTAGTAGAGATGGGTTTCACCACATTGGCCTGGCTGGTCTTGAACGCCTAACCTCGAGTGATCCTCCCACTTCAACCTCCCAAAGTGTTGGGATTACAGGGATGAGCCACCAGATGTGGCCAAATTTCTGTTGTTTTAAGCCAACCAGTTTGTAGTCATTTGTTACAGCAGCTCTAAGAAGTTAAGACATTGCCCTTTAGGGGATTAGTCCAGTTGGGCCGATAAGAACCCACGACATGAAGCAATGTGTGGACAAAACAAGGCGGTGGACATTCCAAGAAAGGTCACGGCGGGCTGGGAGCATAAGGGAAAGTATTCTGGAGGAGGGAGAAAGGATTTTTTGAGTTTTTTGTTTTTGTTCCTGTTTGGCTGTGGAGGAGAAGGTAGGTGTTGTTAAAAGTGGCAGAACACATGAGAAACCAAAGCAAGGAGTTAGGAATTTGCAAGGCCAGTTCAGTGGGGACAGTAAGGAGATCAGCTGCGCTTCAGTTGACCTCAAAGCACCCTGGATGCCAGGCCAGGGTGTTTGGACACAGCAGGAGTCACATTCAAACATTAAACAACTGATGGTACATACAGAAAGGGGACAGACACTGGCCGTGAGCAGTAGCAGAGTCCTGGAGGCCCCAGCACCACCAGACATTGACCTCCTAGATACATGACAAGGTCCAGGAGTTCAAAGGGATGGGCCAAGGGCTTGGGTAGCAGGGGCACTCCTGAGCTCTGGGCAACAGCTGTTTTCCCATCTGTTTGGAAGTATTCTGTGGAGCAAGGAGGCTGGCAAGTAGACCAGTGCAGTAGTCCAAGGCAGATGCAACAGGAATGGCCTGAATCCCGGAGCAGCCAAGCCGGGCTGATGCCTCAGGCTTCTCCCCTGCCAGTCTCTGGGAACTGAGAAGGAAAAGCCAGGGCACAGGCAGAAGGGAAACTGGATTTAGAGGGAACATATGGGTTAAGTCAGAGAGAAGTTAAATTTGGGAGAAGGAAGGCCACCTGGAACCAGCAGACAATGAGAGATAGGCATGGGTTGGAAATCAATCCACAGGCATCTTTATTCACAAAGCTGCCACTGGCTGCATGTATGCTGGGCAGCATGCTAGGTACTCTACCTGCATCAGCTATACCCAGGGTTGGCACTAGGCCTGCAGGCCAAGTTCAGCCCACCATCTCTCTCTCTCTGTTTTTTTTTTTTTTT